CTGATTCGGCGACACTTTGGTTCATATGAAAAAATATTAGGATAACTTTCATTCGAATCGGAGTCACTACCATTTGATTCAGAGTCAACTCCTACGAGTTCATATCCAGGGGCACATTCATATCTGAAGCTCTTTTTATAGTACACTTCGCAATCAGTTTCCACTTCATTATCAATTAAAGATAACAGTTGACTGAAAGATTCGCCAGAGTCTACATCAGACGTTTCTGAATCACCGGAAGTGTCTTTGGATTCACCAGAAGTGCCTAGAGATTCATCGGAACTGGAAATGCCTAGATATTTGCCGAAAGCGCCAGTTTCCTCGGAACTGTTCAAAGATTCTCTCAAAACAGCAATAATATCACTCCTTAAATCGCCATTTTTAGTTGAAGTATTTTTCTCGGGAGATTCTTTGTTCAATGATTGTTTGTAATTCTCCAAAATAGTTATAAGTTTATAGTACACCAACTGTTTCTTTTGTGGAGGCTTATTCTGTTCGGGCTTGTTGGCAGTGGAGTCCTTTTCAGTAGGACCCAATCCAAGATCACCCAGCAGTACTGAGAGTCTTTCATCGAATTCACTTGAATCTGAAAATGAATGAATGGTATTTTTTGAATGATTCAGGGTGAAATGAATTATTTCCCGCCAGGTTACAAGTGTGAACCGGAAGTGAAAGGGTGCGTTCGAAGCTATCGTTTGATTATTAGCTTCTTTTGTTTAAAACAAACTTTTTTAGGAGTACGAGATTGTCCATATTCGTCATTGGATAAATGGTATAGATTATATAATTTTGTTAGTGATTACAGAAACATACATTTAGTTTTAATAAATAGATTTTGTAATATTTGTGACTTATTCAAGACGATGAAATTTTACCCGCAGTGCAAAGCAAGTGAAACCTTACCTTCATCAGATTGGCTATTCGAGTCACTGCCACTAGAATCGCTGTCTGAACAGTCTTTTGAGGTTTCACCATTTTTTCCATCACCATCTTTACCATAATAACCCTCACATTTACCATTCTTACCATGAAGAGACAGTATGTTACTTACAGCTGACTCAATCGCATGATCTAGAGAATCTCCATTCAATTGTTTATGGTCATCTACAACGAGCAACAAGAAATTATAATAAAATAATCTTAGGCAACAGTTGAACTCTTCATACTGTGGAATTTCTAATAATTATTAAAGGGGTTCAGTAGTGGTGCAATTCTTAACGTGTGTAAACTAAAAAGGAGAAATGTAGAAACGGCACTGCTAACCATGCATCATGTTGACCTCGTTTGAGGGTAGCCTAGGAAATTTCATCTAAATCAGGCTTTTTATCGGTAAAGGTACGTTATCTTCTCGGAATTCAGAAATTATAAACCTTTATTAACAAAGCAAGAAGACATTTCTAAAGGATATATTATTGTGCTCACCTGTTACATTAGCAGCTTTCAGAATGTTTGAAATACTTTTAGAAAGTTGGTCAATGGTGTCAGCACCTGTAAATAAATTACATTAAAGACACAGATACACTCGTAGCACCATTCTGATTTCTTGCCTCCTGTCAAAACGTCACCATCGCAAATATCGTTGAAAATTGAAGTTATAAACATATTTACATAAATAGACCAGGATATCACTTTTGAATTTTTAAGAAAAAAAAAGAAACAAAAAGAACACAAAAAGTCATCTTCACGATGAGAGGATACGCAAATACTCTCGAGTCATTGTTTACAATACCACTACCCACAAATATTATACAATAAAAATCATTCCATACCTGAACATAATACAACGGTATGAGCAGAAAACAACAAAACGAGGAAAAATTTCGTCATTTTGATATTTTCCTGCTGACCCTAGACGACGGCCAACTGAGCTGTGATTCAAAGATCTGCACCTACCCGGTTTTTCACTTTTCTTGTCGTTATAAACATGTCGAATTTATTTCAAAACGTCAGTGAAAAGTTAATGATTTGTGGTTCATGTTTGAGTATTTTATTCCGTGAATTTGAATGTAAAAAAATACAACATCAAACATTGACCTGACTTAAAGTTTTAAACAGGTAATTTAGACTCTTTGAACCTTGAAAAGTGGAATTTAAATCATTGAATGATCTAGTGATTTATAGAATCCTGTGCCCATTTAGTGAAGGAAGTTTCGCCTGGGGTGAAAATGCTGACATCTCAACCTCACATCTTCACAAAGTCAATCTAATTTGACCTTCGGCTTATACCTTGACTCCAATAGCCGCCTTCTTGTAAAGAATGCAGCAATTTTATCGGATTGTAAGCCAGCGAGTACAACCAATCAGAGCCCTCAACAGCAAGACTAGATATTATGGTTTAGTGGTTACATACATTTTGTTTATACTTCTGATTGGCCGTATTTGTTAACGTACCATCCAATAAAATAGCTGTATTTACAAACCTCAGTGAAACAAGAAAGACGGCTATTGCTGTCAAGGTATAAGACGAAGATCGTAATAACATGACATTGTGAAGATGGCATCACCTCTGCACTATTAATGTTGTGTCCCATATGAGTCCACTATAAAAAAAATTCTTGTTTATTTTCTTATATTGTCACTTACATTGTCATTGTCACAAGACATTTATTGGTTTGGATTATTTGATTGACTTATTCATTATGTATTGAACTGGCAATAAATAGAAATAGCTCTATGGCTGAACTAAAAATATCAAATAAAAGACATATTTCTTTCAATGTGTTTCATTTCCGTACAATTTGTATCGAACCCGTAGGTCTTCGAATGATGGGTAAGGAGGAATACGAACTAGGAATTAGTGATATATCCCTGGGGTGACGCTGGTAACGTTGACAGTGGCGTAATTAGGCAAGTCTTAACCCAACAAAAGGATGCAGCGACAATGGCCAAGGACTATATTTTTGAGACTATAGAGGATAATGCCTATAATTTCTCCTATCAATCACTTGAAACTGGAGATAATTTGATTTTTGGCTTGAGGCACAAAAATGACAAAATTGGTTGAGTGTAATATCTATATTATTTTAGGCTCCAATCACCATAAATGTCATATACCTCTACTTTGATAATCTTAGATGAAGAAAATCATACAGTTAGTGCTGTTGTACCTGTACAAAACTAATGTGACAAATAAATGTGAGCTTACGAAGTAGCTCATCTATTGTATTATCATTACGCGTTACGTCCGCCAACGCGATCTTGTTTAAATTTGATAGAGTTGATATTCTTCTGGCGTGTAAAAGATTACATTTGTGTATTAGTAATTTGAGTATTTTGTGGTGGAGGTAGACATCATAATCCCACTCAAATGGTTGGTTTTTTTTGCCAATGAGTTTCAGTGGGATGGGTTCTCGGTTTTGTATTATGTAAAGTAATACAGAAGCTCGATCAACGAGTCAAATTCAGATAGCTGTATACCTTAAATTATATATTAAGCCCGTCGTAGCCGTATTTGAGTACTCGGGAGGACAAATAATATATCTGGAGGGGCAATGGAATTGTGGTGTTTAGTTGCATTAATTGAATGGGTCGGTTGTTCGAATTATTTCAGGGGAGCAATCCACTATTTCTGCCAGGTACGGGCCAGGTTTCTATTAGATCCACTGCATGCATAGAGGGCAAAAAATGAAACGGGGTAAATGTTTAGACATCAACCTTCGTAAGCACACAAGAATAATACGTCCGCAATTCCAAAGACAGGCCCATTTTTCATTTTGATATTCATAGCTATGATTACTCATTCCACACTATATTTATATCTATATCTTCATTGAATGGCGTGTGTCATATGTCATCGTATGGCACGTTGACCATAAGATACATTGAAATCCGTGATTCTTGACATATGTAGTAAGAAGCGTGACCAAAAATCATGAACCATGAACCTCAAACGGAAGTAGGCTATACCAGTTATGTTAATTTGTTTAGAAATATTATGTGAATCATGAATTAATGAAATTCAACACTCGTGGTGGTCTGGTGATTACCAGTTATTGTTCAAACATGTCAAGAGTCTTGCGCACTAAGCGGTGTGAAAATATATTCAACAAAAAAATGTATCGACCGTCCTTCTTTTTTTCATCTTCACAATGTCAAGCTATTACGAATTTCTTATACTTTGACTGCAGTAGCCCTTGACATAAAGGTTGTAAACATCATGGAAAGGGATCCCATCGACTGTACTAGATACTTAACAATCCAGACAAATCGCTGTATTGAAAAACTTCCATTACACAAAAAATGTTGCTATTGCGGTCAAGGTATAAGATTACGTTCGTAAATATAGCGTGACATTGTAAAGATGCTAGTCATTATTGTATGGTGACTTAATTTTTTATATCTTCCATTATTATTAGAAGATAAATATTTTAGTGTAATATATGCAATACCATTACGTATTGTCATCAAAACAACAACATTAGCGTATATATAAGTCATGCTTTTAGAGATGATTTTATTGCTATTGCTAGCCTCGGGCAAGGGTTGAAACAATAAAACTTCTTGTAAACATCTTTTGATTCATTCTTGAGTTGACAACTTTATTCATAACGACAGCGGTAACTAGTTGTACCTGTTTTGTGCGGTTATTATCCTACGCAACAGAAATTAATCCTGGATTTTTGGATGCATATTTTAACGATTCAACTCCAACGAACCAAAGCTGACAAATCTCGTCAAAGCATATTAAAGGACTTTGGTATTTCACCATCCAAAACAGTCCGAATGGATAACCCCTGCAAAAATAACTGTACTTTTTTGGGGTATGAATCTAAATCCGGTTGATATAAATGACGCACATTTTTTTTAAATTTGCGCTAAATATTTTGCATATACAATTAAGGGGATTTATCTAGAAAGTTCGTCATTGAGATTTATGATGGACAGGTCATGATTGTTGATATTTTTAAATATACGTTACAGATTAGTACTAGAAAACAGATGACGTCACAACTAGGGTATATAAAGCTTGGGTCATTTTCATTAATATCATTCATTCATCACCTGACCATTCCAAGGAACTCATCATGGTTTTTACAATGAAGTTATCAGCTTCGCTTCTCTTACTTTTATTCATTTCCTACCATTATGTTTCGGGTAAGTTATAATTTTTCGTTATAAGATAAGGGCACAAAACTCTGTTAGATTCTTGTTGAGTGCCCTCATGATACATATCCCGGATTGCAACAATTATACTTTCGTTCTTGCAAGTTATTTGGAAAATCGGCGAAAAGTGGGCCTACCATTAGAGTTTTTCTTCTAATGAGTTCTTCATCACAATATTCTTTACAGTTATTTCCAAAACAAATTCCAGGAATGCTGCTTTCTTCAAACTTTTGATGTTAAAAATCCAGATAGCCATAAAACGAACATTAGAATTGAGTATGTCTGAAGTAATGATTCTATTCTATGTATTATAGGCGATAGCAGTCGCAGTAGCGAAGAAGAGGAGGATCAGCCCTCTGTTGCTTCCATGGTTCCAGTTGTCCAAGGAACCCCGTCAACAGGCGCCCAAACATTACCATCCATTGACACTGCCGCAGCGAAATATAACCTCTTTCACCTTATTTCATCAGGTCAGCCTACAGCACCCGAAGCTGATGAGGAAGAAGAATCTGTCACAACAGCTGCCCCTCTCATACTGCCACATTTACTAAGTACATCAGCCCCAGTAGTAGAAGAAGAAGAGGAAGAAGAAGGGGTTGCAGGATTGCAAACGACACAGACACCATTACCAGAGATCCAAGTTCCCCTCGAACCAATTCAACTCCCTATACCAAGGGTTCCCTTGCCACCTGCACCTATACCACAACGACCAGTTATCATGCCGCCTTATAGACCATCGTATCAATCAGTCCAGTCTCCTCCGGGGATAATTACCATCTCATCACCTCCAGTACAAGTCGGCAATCCAGCCATTCCAAGACCAATTGCACCACTTTATCCTGTGGCACCTGTGATGCCCGAAAGACCACTACCTCAAATACCAGCTAATGGTAAGTCAAACTAGTCTACTCGTGGTATACCATCTGAATTGATGTGGATGTCAATCCACCATAAACACAAATGGGTTGGAAAAAGGGATTATATTTGCATTATTTTTGAAAGATAAACAAATTATTTGGTTAAATACAGAGGTAAAATTTGGGACGGAAGATTGTATGTTACATTTGTTCTAAGGTACACTCACAGGCTTCCTGCATCTGAATGTTTAACATTGCGAGCTATAGGACACCGAACTATACACCCATGTATTCTTATTTCAGACGATAGTGATATCTAT